TAAGATCAGATGTAGCAAGGGTTCCTGGCTCTCCTCCATTTCCTAAGGGAGCACAAACTTCACCATCATGCCATATACACACTTAAAATATCCTCCAGTGTTTCAGCAAGTCCCCAGAGAGGATCACGAGTGTTCTGGAGCAGGACCAGTCAGTCACTACATGTTTCTTTCTCTTTTAGCCCATGTTTCCTTTAGAGATGTCACCAAGAAGATTCATGAAGATGTGTTGCCCTCTCCCTGCTTCTTGGATGGATTGTCTCTTATTGCTTCCTGTTAATCACCAGTATGCCAAGATCATACTGGACTGAAGTTGTTCTTTATTTTAGAGGGAAGGAGACCTCTACACACACACACACACACACACACACACACACACACACACACACACACATCTCTGGAACATGCCCTGTCAAGAAGGTCCCAAACACATGTCAGGTGTTTTCCCCAAAAGTCATGTAGATGATGCATAAACCATTATTTCTGTGTCTGCTTGAGCATCTCTCTTCTTTGGGTTTATATAGCTATTCATGAGGGCTGGCCTGGAAGCTGTCAGGTGACTCAAAAGAGAGCTGTTTTTTATGCTAAGCCTTTCCTTGTCTTTCAATTAAAGTTGAGAATTTACAAATTATTATTGGATATTAAACTTCAAACAACCCTATTAGATAGGATGGACAGATAGTATCAGCATCATTTTATAAACAGGAACTGTGAAACTTGGAAAGCTGCACTTACTCAGCAAGTGAGTCACAGAGCTGAAACTCACATCCAAGTCCAATCCAGTGTATTATGCTCAGTTGTCTCCACAAAGATGGAGATAGGCTGAGTGTCAAATGGCAGCAGCTGCAATCCCAGAACATCTCACCCGTAACTGAGAGCAGGTTTCCCTCAATGCTTGTACAATGTCATCAAAGCCTTGAGTCTTCTCTCCTGAAAAATGCACATTAGCAGGCAGCCTTGTGTGCACACACACACTTCACATCCTTTTGCAAGTAGCTACAAGGCTTATAAAGATACTGAAATATTTCTCAGTATACTGAGTCATATTTCAAGGGACACCTGCCCTTATGAAACATTATTTTAAAATTCCTAAGAAGTGATTGGGTCTACATGGTAAAGGAGAAATTTAATCAAAACACTCAAGAGTTCTAATTTCCTGGAAATTACCTTAACAAATTATGGTTTTTAAAATCATGTTTATAATAATGAAATGAACTATTAAATACTGCCTATATATTTAAGTTAAAATTTTTTGATGTATATACACACATATATGTTTAGTTACTTCAAATTAATTTAGAGCAGATGCAAGCATACACCTCTTGAGCAAACAGTTAATAAAATATTCTAAATAGCTTAAAAGTATGTGTCTGCTTGACCCTTTTGGTCAATTGAGTGATTAGCTAACTAGTATCTGATCAATATCAATAACATTTGAATGCTGCCAAGGATGGTAGCTGGGG